ATTATTAGAATCGATTAAATCAATGAATCAGACATCTTATAAAATTATTTCAAATCTGTTAATAGAAAAGTGTATCAAATTCGATGATACGATGCTGGCAAGCCGGAAACTCGATAGAGAGAATTAATAGTGTTCCGTCCACAGAGACAGTGTGGCATGGGGTTCCATTACACGGGTAGGGAGCGGAGCAAAAGAGAGCATCGAACGAACCCCCTGCTCGTATCTGGGGTGAAAATTGGGGCACGCAAATACCTTGGCAGCTGCGTGCTCCGGGGTGTTTTCTCAAGTCCTAGCGAATATCCCCCGTTTTGTGCTTGCACCTCTCCCCCTTCACCCCAAATACGCCCCGATTGTCAGCACGTACAATGCAACACTTGATTCGATTGTCGTTAGCGGACGATTAGAGGCAGCTAATTTTTCTGTATTCTCTTGACGACTTGACATTTTTTTCAATCCCCGCAAATTCTGAATAAAAAAGTCTAAAATAAAATTTATTAACAGATTGCGTAAAAAAAGAGATTAAACTGTCTTTAGGAGTGGAGGAATAAATTGTTGGCGGATTAACAAGCACTCGAAAGAGAGGCGGGACGTGTAGGTATTATAGATAAGGATCTAAAATCCAGGGTGAAATCCAGCGTGAAAACTCTGCCAGATCGAATCCTATTACTTCATACTCAACGAGGAACATTATTCAACTACAACGAGAGAGCTAAGCCTCTTCAATACAAATCATAAAAATTAAAAATTCTACAGTTACATTAATTTAATCCACGTTTTAATGAAATACTCCATCTGTTTTAAAGATTCTTCTGTTTTTTTCATATATACACATATGTTGAAATTTTGCAAAATTTGTATCAGCGAACGAGTGTCTTCGAACGTTAGCCAGAAAACACGGTGTACGGGCATACTCTCTCGTGTAATATTGATTCGTTGGAGACGAGGTCGCAGGTGAGACTTCCCACGATCGTTGGCCACCGCCGCGGCGAGCCAAACGTCACGGATTTGTCTGGAGATGAACGACTATAACTATTCTATGCGAAACAATAACTGCAACTTGATTCATTAAAATTCTGCGAAATTAGTATGAAAAAGAAATTACAGTTCGTGCTTAAGATAATTAAAGTAAATGTTTGACTCAATAATTAGAATATGACGAATAAAAACAAACGCAGAATAAATAGATACGGCAGAACAGAATGAATAATAAATAAAATGAAGAGTACTTGTTATTAGGAAACACGAATGTTGGATGATCGACGATGCTGGCTGTTCGTTTTAGTCTTCTTTTATTACATGCTTCCGTATGCACAGTTACATTACAAAATCGTATCG